CACATGTATGACTTTTTGCCTTTTTATTCGATGCCATAACTTTTGATTCATTTATTACGTTTTTGTTAAATTGTACCAATAAGTAAATAATATTTTAACCATTATTTTATTTGACCATATCCTTTTGCACTTTATGGTAAAAACTAAAGGGAAAATGACATAAATGTCCTACAAACTTTCTAGGGTTTACCCATTTAGTCCCTAAAGTTTTTGTCGGGATTTATGGGTCCCTAAACTAGGATATGACCTGCTCTTTTAGTCCCTGACAACCTGTAATAGCCGGTTCAGTGACCTTTTAGACCCAAAAACTCACATTGTGCCCCTTTAAAGCCAAAAAAATAAGTTCGGGGATCAAATTGTCAAAATGTTGTTTCAGTTAGGAGATTTCGAGTGCACTCTTTTACCTGGTTGACAAATGAGTGAAACACTTGATAATTAGATTATTATTTTCATTATCACTTAAACTTGTATACAGTGAGATATAAAAGTATAATTTAATGGTAATAGTAAATAATTAATATTTATATTACATACCATCTCTATGGTATGGTAAATATGATACGTTTTTCCTTTCGGTTCTAGTACTTCCTTTGCTTCTTTGTAAACATCCAATAGTTCTTGATATATGAATTTCATGTACGCAGGAAGTGTATCGATGCAGCTTGCCAACCATCTATATACATTAATTAAAATGGTCAAAATGTTGTTTAATTTAAAGAATTATGGGAACTACTATACGTATCGTTGGCTATTATAAGTAATTAATGCATACAACATACATTTGAACAGCTTGGGTGAACATCTCAAGCTCTTCGTATGTACCATAGTTATCATACGTGTCATCCAATATGATAGCAAGATTGCATGTTTTCATTAGAAAAATCCTAGCATCAGAATATTGAGGCTCAAAATAGACTGCCAATATCCAAAAGTAGCCTTCTACCAATCTGTCGCAAACATAAGCTAGCTTGTTTTCTAAATCCAAATTCTTGCACCATCTATTTAGACACATGAAGGTGCATGGCCCGCCATGAGAAGAATTAAATGAGTAGATTAACAAATTAAGCACACTAGTTAATTGGAGTGATTGATTAAGTACATACCCTTTGATCTAATCAATATGATTGGTCTAGCCAATATTATTACCAAGGTTTCACTCGTTCTCTGTCCATTTACATTAGAAAACTATAGAAGTTGTTAGGTTACGTACTTGCTGATTTGGCTGAGCTCCTTTTTGTGCAAGGATTGAAGTAAATTGAAATCCAACATGGAAAAGTGTAGTAAGGATTCATTATGGGAAACTTCTTTCTGATAGATGTGCATGTAACGCATGGCCAGTTTAGAGCATAGGCAACCTATGATTTGGTACATGCCCCGATATTTTTAAGGGCCCATATTTTTTTAATGTATACACTTACGGGCTGGCCAAAGGTTGAAGGAATTAAGACCTTGTCGATCACCCACTAGACGCATCGCCAGAAGAAGCACCAACAGAGGCGGAGCTACTTGGAATCTCGAGTAGTGCCTCCAACCTACAACTTTAATACGTCGTATCATTCCCTCCTGTGTTGCATGTGGCTGGCGATTTTTTTCTTCAGAATACGTCCCCTACCATTGTCGATCTCGACTGCACCACCTCCTGTAGTCCTCTTCCATTGGTGATTTGTTATTAGGTCGTTATCTCTTCACAAGCCCCATCACACATTACTTACGATCACAGCAAGATTATCGTCATTAGTTCTCCTCTCTGCCACTGCTTTGCTCGTGATTTTTAAAAGTTTTATGCACCTTTACATTTTGACCCAAAATGAAACTTTTGGTATGGATTGCTTTCTTACCCGCTCTCTATATATGTATCATATCCCAATAATCGACTCAGTTTTTATTGTGTATAACTGTATGAGTTAAGCAAGTCTTTATATGGCATGATTTCAAGCAAATTATGTGTTTGATAAAATGCCTGAGTGAATCCCTGTTTAGAAAGAACTTGAAGTTGCATTTTTTTCTTCATAGATTAGAACTGAAATCCCTTGGATCCTGTTTTTGAGTTGTTGGTTGTTTGTGGATCAACTTATCAGATAGTTCTTGCCCTCACTATTGAGTTGCTGTTGTTTTGTTGCTTTTGTTTAGGCCTGCTCTGATCTGGACCTTTTTGCCCCTGTCTTTTGCTTCTTTTGGTCCTCTGATACCTTTAGAGTAGGTAATCTTTATTGGTTTCTTCCTCATTTGTTCATTTTTTTGTGGTTTCACTATTAGGCTTTTTTAGTGTTTCTTTTTATTTGTAGCTGTATTGTAGCTAGATTTTAGAGTAGGTTGCCTTTGTTAGCTTAAATTTGGCATAAAATTTTTTGGTTTTTCAATATTTGTGTGAAAAGGGAAAGCAAACAAGTTAGAATTATGGAAAAAACAATTTTATTTATATAAATTACAGAATTGCTCCGTATGTTATGTTAACATTACAGAAATAGTACATATGTTATATTGAATTATAAAAATGCTCTCATGTGTTATATTAATTGCAATTTCAACATTACACAAATGGCCCAATGTGTAAAAAGAGCTTTAGTTTATATAATTTAATACTATGATTTTGCTAGGTTTATTGCTATAAAGTTTATCGTCATTTAAAAAAAACATTGGTTTATATAATTTAATTCGTTACACGTTATGACTTAAGGGACTTTTTTTCCGGCTCGTCCTGAGCATTTAAATTCTCAGGACCGGCCCTGATGTAACGCAATGCCTCAAGCCTTGGCAACCTTTTCCAGAGAGGCTGTTCTAGTGCTTGTTATATCCGGATCTTAAGAGATGAGTCCTTACACATATGATCATTTGCTATGTTTTTTGTTGAAAAGTCGAATAAGCGAGGGATGCATCGTAAAGTTATCCAATATTTACACTTTTTATAACATAACTATCACTTAAATCATTATTTTTAACGAATTGATCCCCAAACTTATTTTTTTGGCTTTCTAGGGCCACAATGTGAGTTTTTTGGTCTAAAAGGTCACTGAACCGGCTATTACAGGTTGACATGGAGTAAAAGAGCAGATCATATCCTAGTTTAGGGACCCATAAAGCCCGACAAAAACTTTAGGGACTAAATGGGTAAACCTTAGAAAGTTTGTAGGGCATTTATGTCATTTTCCCAAAACTAAAAAATCGTATTATTTGAGAAAATATGACCAAAAAACTTTATAAAAGGAGATGTATCTTTGGAATGGTCCGTCACAACTCACAACTAAAAGGCAAAGAAAGGCATCAACCTGTCAAAGCATAAATGCCATTAGCTTATATGCGGTTGATTTATGATACTAAATGTTGTAGAATATATGGATTTTGGTATAAAAACAAAAGTCTTTACATTTGAGGTCAGAAATCATTGTTTTTCTTTTGTCGTGAATATACTTAGGTTTGACTCTATAAAAGCTTATTTGAATTTCGTTTTTGCTATAACAAACTATATTTAATCTTAAACCAAATGTATGTTTCAACAAAAACCGAACTCTCACTTTGTATAATTTGATTTTCCAAATTGATAAACCATTTGTAAGAAACTTTGATTTTATATAAGTTGAATTTTCCAAATTCATTAAAGGTAAAAGGTTACAAGAATGTACATGACATCTCTCATTGTTAGTATTATAAAAACGACACTGTATTTAATATAAATAAATTTGTTTTTTTTGTGGTAACCGACTCCTATAGTAACTGCTTGGTAACCTCTGCTTAGTAAAATCAATTCTCATTGCTAAGTATCCTTTAAAATTCCGATACAATTACGATAAATGAATCAAATTTGAGATGTGTAATTTATTTATTCTCACATAAACACAAGAGATTCATAAAATTTAAGAAGTCCGATGACGACTAACCATCCACAAACTGCAACATGGTAGATGCGATGATTGAGAAAAAACTCTAATCGAGATGTTAGTTTATAGTAGTCATTCTTGAATTCAATTCATGGGTTCAACCCGATCAACTCCAACATTTGAGAGTCATCACTAGGAACTGCTTGGTAACCTCTGCATTTAGAGCATTTGGTACAACCATTGGATGAATCAAAAGCATTGAAATTGCTTCTAAAATTACGTTATCTTAATCATTATGAGATTAGAACCATTCACTTCTAATATTCAATGTGATTTACCAAACAGCCTAGGAAAAAAATCACCTTCTAATTTTCCTCATTTATATTTTATATTTTTTTATTATTGTAATCATCTTCTTATTCTTTATTAACTAGCTTCTCAAGTGTTAAATATTGATATATCAAGTTCTAAAATTATTATATCTGAATTTTTATAGAATAAAAGAACCACATTACGATATATCAAAATTCGTGTTCTTTTCCATAAAAAGTAAAAAACATCAAATATCATTCTTATTTTCACATCAATATTTTATAATTTATCTGAAACCATTTACTTTGATAGAGCATTTTCTTTCCGTTTCTACAAAATACAAACAAAAAAACAGATTGGCAAAAGGAAAAACGTATCAGTCCAGTAACTAAATTATAAAATTATAACTTATATTAGTATGCAACAAGGGCATTTGGTCTAGTGGTATGATTCTCGCTTAGGGTGCGAGAGGTCCCGAGTTCAATTCTCGGAATGCCCCAAATTTTATTTGCTTTGTTTTTTTTAACTCTCCCAAAATCATTTCAACCGTCCATTCAATTTTTGGCGGTATAATTTGCCTGTTCCTATGTTTGTTTCTGATTCGTTTACTGGCATTCTAAGCATTTACATATATTCTTAATCAAAGCGATTGATCATAAGCACATACAAAAAAAAGAAAAAAAAAGAAATAGTGATAGTTAAATAAACCCTACCAATCCATAATCATTAATCACAACAACACACTTGAAATAGTTCAATAAACAAAAAGAAACATCGACAAAAGAAACCTATATATAATAAATAAACACAAACCATTACTTCATAGATTCCACTAGTTAAATAAGATTAGCAAAATCAATGAAGCATCAAACATCAACTCCACTTTTCACTAAGACAAACATGAACCTCATGTTCTTCAGGTCCTACACGATGCTTAGGCACCATTATCTCAAGCATAGTTCCCGTTTCATCCCTGTAAGCTTCCAACTTTGCATCTTCAGGAATCGGAGTGGGAAGCAGAATCTCCCTCACAAATTCCCCGGGAGGGCAGTGCTCAGGCGCCGGATCAGTCATCTTAAACGTCCTGTTTTGTCTTTTCAACACGGGTATACACCCAGTGCTCACACAACAAATCTTCACAACACCTTGTGAAATGGTATTCCTCCATGTAACTTTTACCCTTTGAAGATCTACACATGGCAAACTTACCACAATCAAGAATCCCTCTTCATCTTCATAAATAGTCTTCGCAGCCGTTACGGGCCCATAAGCACTTCTTAACACCCCGGAAATTTCACTCGTCCAATGCGGATCCACTTGATGAACATCAAGAACCGAATCCGAACTTTCTTCATCGTGGTTGCCACGTGGCGAGTTGCTCTTCCGACGTTTACCATTACAACCCGCCAAAAGATCTGGCACACCGGTATTACTGCCAGTACCATTACCAGAAAGCAATCGCTTTGGTTCTTGTTGTTGTTGATGATGATGATGATTAGCAGTATCTTTTGGAATGAGAGCGCGTTCAATTTCGAAATTGGTACTTGGAAGATTCCTCCAAGAACCGAAATCACACGCTTCGAGAGTAATCGAAAAGTTCAAATCTCTTCCGGTAAGTTCCATCCACCTTCTTCTTTCTTCCTCTTCCAATCCCATCAAATTAGGCGATCTAACAACTTCAATCCCATGAACACATTGAGGATTCGAGAGTCCCCTATATTGTTTCCTTTGCATACGATGAGATCTAACGAAACCCTTATCAGCACAAAACGGAAACGGCTTTTCCCCTTGTCGTGAATGCCCGTTCATATAGCTTCTCAGTTGCATTTTCCCCAATGCGTTCTCGGGCCTTTCTTTAAAAGCCCACATATACATATTCTCCATGTCATGTTGAACCAAGAAAACATCTAACTTCAGCTGTGATTTATCAATATCGTCTCCGTTATTATTATTATTATCCCTGTTCTTGTTCTTTGACTTCTCGTTTAAAACTGGTTTGAAGTAGAAATTAAAGAAAAACCAAGCCCCCCACATGCTATCTAGTCGCTTAGCGGTTTTCTTTCCGGATTTTGTGACATTTATATGTGTTTCACTTTGGTAATGTTGAGAACCTAAACCGGGTTCTAGCATGTCACATGAATCAATCGACCCAGGGGGCGGAGGGCTTGGCTCCGCCGAAAGTGGGAGATTGATATCGGGCGGTAGACTTAGGTTCAGATCTACCGTCGGATCGAACAAACTTGAATCCATTGACAAAAAATGATTGTTGTCACCACCACCATTCATTTTCTCCTTTGCCGGCATTATCATATCACCAGAATCAACACTTAACAGCATGAGCAAATTACCTCATGCAATCATACTCGAAAAACCCGAATGAAATCAATAAAAAAGTATCCTAAATCCACCCAAATCAGTCCACATCGTAACCAATATGAATAATAGCGCATCGAAAGCAATTAAACCGCCTCAGATGCATTTTATTCTCAACCGATTTACAAAATAATCGTGTTAGATTGTCAGATATGTGTAGTTGATTTGATTTTATAAGGGTACGATCGAAGAAATCCTAACCCTAGAAAAGTCAAGATACTGAGAAGAGATTAGGGATAGGATCGAACGGTACCTGTGAAGACAACGCATCTGATCGGAGAACAGCAAGATTGATTTATGGTAGAGAGAAAAAGAAAAACAGATAGAGAGATAGATGAGAAATACGCGTTAATGGAGGAGAGAGTTTTAAAGAAAGAGAAGGTGGCGTATGTGGGTTTGGCGCTGGTGGGGGTAGGGGGAGACTGGAGAGAGAGAACCTTCACTAGTTGAAACCGTCCGGTTTTTGTGACAGGTGAATCAGACGCCGTCCCTTCCTACCGTCTTCTCCGTTTTCACGTGAAATGTTATAATAAAAATTAGAGTAGTTACACCAATGGTCCCTATGGTTTTAGGTAATTTGGTCAATAACTTGTTTTTTTAACTCGAAATGTCCCTAATGTTTGTTTTTGTTGCACACTTGGTCCATGTCTTATCTAAAAAGACTATTTTGCCATTGATTTTTAATTTATTTAAATAAACACACCTTCAACCTCACCTCAACATCACCTTACCTTACATTACCTACCTCATCTTATTTGAATAAACTAAAAAATTAATGGCAAAATAGTCTTTTTAGGTAAGACAGGGACCAAACGTGCACAAAAAACAAACAGTAGGGACTTTCCGAGTTAAAAAAGTAAGTTAGGGATCAAAATGTAAATTACCCAAAACCATAAGGACTATTCACTCTAAAAAAAATGGGTAAATTACACGGATGGTCCCTGTGGTTTAGGGTAAGCTACATGCTTAATCCCTAACAATTTTTTTTAACTCGGATCATCCCTACTACAAGTTTTTGTTGCGTCTCGGGTCCCTATCAGACATAAAAAGACAATTTTACCCTTATAATTTTATTTTCATATTTATTATAGTTTTTTTTTGTTATTCAGAAAATATATTTATTAAAAACGTTCATATAGGTCCCACCACCAAAAAATCACGCCTTTTACTCTCCTCTCTTGCACATTCTAATGATCTAACCTGCATCATCTCTATAACCAGCTCTCACCGTTGACTGCCTCATCCCTCCATCTTCACCCGACGACCTGCATATCCATTTTCCCTTTTCCTTTCTCTCCTATGACACCCAACGTGACCATCTTCCCTTCCTGTTCAAAGATTCAACAAGAATCGCAATCACCACCACCTACATCCTAGCACATAATCGTATACACCACCGGAATCCGCCACAGACACGACCAACACCACCACAGACACCAAATCAAAATAAAATCAAAGTCAAAGTTGAAAATCAAACTTGAAAATCAAAATAAACCTGAAATCGAAGCTCAAAACCAACCTAGAATAAAACGTGAAATCAGAGCACAAAACGAAACAATAAAAACACTTGAAATCTAGTAACAGGGCCAGGACGCTGCAACCAGAGTGACAATGAGAAAAAATGGAGAGACGTTGGTGAGTTTTTTTTCGTAACAAGGGTGGACAACAACTTATTTTTATGATATGAGTTTACAAACGATTTTGAAATCCCGATTCCAAAATCAAATCAAAATCAATCGTAAGGAACCGACCATCAATCTATGAAACCGAAACCAAAAATCATATGGGGTTTGTGAAACGAAAATCAATTTCTTGATAACATCGATTTCAAAAATCGCGAACGACTGTTTTTGTGGCTCTCCCTCAAACAGGGTGTGTATGAAATGTATTTTTCTTGACTTGTAATCGAGGCTCGTTGAAAACAAAAATTAGGATGTAATCGACCAATGGGAAGATGCAGACAGCCGTGAAAAGGGAAAGGGATGAAGGGTGGATGGTGGTGGCTGCGTACGAGATCGGTGCCGAGTAAAAGGAAGAAAAGAAGGAGGGTTACATGTTGTTCTTTGATGTTGGTGGTATATAGGAAGAATGAGAAAAATAAGGGGATTGTGGAGTAAACTCAACAAATCGATAGTCGATGGTGGCTATGGAGGTGATTTCGTCAGTTTGGAGGTGACGCAGGTGGAAGAGAAGTCGAAGTGAAGAAGAAGGGGGAAGAGTTGACGTCGTGCTTAGGCTTTTAGGGCATTCTTGAATAGTTATTATTAATATATTAATAATATGAAAATAATAAAAGAATATTAGAAAATATTTATTAAGGGCAATATAGTCTTTTTATCTTGGACAGAGACCAATGGTGCAACAAAAATATAAATAGGGACGGTCCAAGTTAAAAAAAAGTTGTTAGGGACCAAACACGCAGATTACTCAAAACCACAGGGACCATCCATTTTAATTTACCCCAAAAAAATTAATTTTTGCTTTGAGTAAACAACATTTCTCTTAAAATAAATTTATTAGGTAATGAATTTTAATTTGTTGTCATATTGGTGATTCGATGACTTTATTTTGATAATGGAAATCATGAAAATACTATGCAACGAAAGTTTTTTTTTTTTTTTTTTTTTTTTTTTTTTTTTTTTTTTTTTTGTGACGTGGGTAGAAGATAAGAGATTGTGACTATGGTGTGCAAAATAAGGGGAATATCAATTTTATTCTCAGGAGATCATTTACGATGTTGTATATAAGGTCATCCGTTATACTTATTACTAACCATTATAGTGGTGGGTGTCACATAATCACGACTCTCTATCAGTAATTATGAAGTAACTATGAGATGCAAACCACTAAACACACCATTCTATATTATTTTTTCAATTAAATTTAATTTAAAAACACAATAAAACATATTTTTTTAATTAAATTTAATTTAAAAACACAATAGAACATATTTTTTTAAAACTAGTTTTTTATTCAATGAAACAAAGATTACATTAATTTAAAACACACAACATAAAATAAAAATAAAAAACATAAAAATGCAACCACAAACAACTTAAACTAGTTTTTAAACCTTATTTTTAATGACTAAAATTTAGGCACTATCTTAATTTTCGCCAAGCTTTGACGTGTTTAAACGGTGTATGTTTCGTGTCTTCATATTGGTGCATGTCCATAACAAACGGGTCGCCTTTGCCTACGTTGTTTATAACAAAGTTATAAATCTCATTGAATTCAAGGCATTTAACCCTCATATCGAGAAACTTCGAACATGTTTCATCAAGACTGCGACTTTGGCAACCCATTAAATTATGGGAAACGTTTCCAACTTTTACCCAAAAATTAGGAGACATTATAACATCTGGGTCTTCTGAAGCCGCTACTCATGCTCGTGCTAAGTTATCTTCTTCATTTTCTGACCAATTCATCCTTTTATGAGCCATTGGTTTTGAATGATAATGCAAAACAAGTGTGTGATTGTGAGAAAAGAAATAAGAAATTGTGATTATATAATAGAAAGTGTGGTATTTATAGAAAATGTTAAATATGTTTGAAAGGTAAAAAATAAAATAAAAAAAAGTATACGTTACAAATGAAAATGTAGTTGTTACAAACACAGCCAATAGGATTGTTCGTTTCAATTCGTGATATGCACAACGAACCACCACGAGAACCATGAACCACGACCGGTTGGGATAGTGTGCACGGCCATGGTCGTGGTCCAGCTCAACCAAGAAGGCGGTCGTGCTATCCATACCGGAAGGTCTAAGAAGAAAGAGCTCATTGAGTTTTACGGGTAGGGAGAATGGATGATGGCAATGGTCAGTGAAGGATCACATTGATTACAAGCATTATATATATATATATATATATATATATATATATATATATATATATATATATATATATATATAATGTGGCGTTGATAGTCTTTTTTTGGAAACGGTAAATATTATAAAAACTCACCCAAATAGTAAGAAACTATATAGGAAAAAGAGCAAACAATTACATATTACATATTACAAAGAAAATTTAAGACTAAGACGAAAAAGGATAAGATACTCTTCCCAATTACATATACCACATTTTCCTCTACATTTTACGCACAAGGGCACTAAAGCTTTGATGTTGTCCACCACACCTTTTGGAGTAATGAATTTTGCTTGGAATATCTGATCATTTCTAGCTCTCCATATACTCCAAAGCATCCCGTAGCATATGGTTGTTAAACGCTCCTTTTTCTTAGGGCATCTCCCCCAGTTGGCTGCAAAACAAGTAATCTCTTCTACATTATGGAAATTGATTTGATCGATTCCGCAATAGTTAAGTATGGACTTCATGACTGACTTTGCATAACGACATTCCACCATAATATGATTTGCATATTCAATTCCATGAATAATGAGCAGCAACTGCAAGTGTCGAGAGTAACCCCACGATGGTAGAGGGCTACAGTTGACGATATTTTCCCCATCACAACACACCATATGAATGTAGTTACTTTAATTGGAACGAGTTTACACCAACTTATTTGAAATTGGTGGACATTTGCTGTAGAGCCATGATCAATCCTTTTCCGGAGTATGTCCACTCTATATTTGCCATCCGCCAAAGTAGACATGAAAGTTGATCCACACCAGGTTGTAATCGAATTGAATCCATGTCGTTGACTAGACATTCTAGTTCAGAGGAGCAACCAACAACTGTAGGACATGATCTCCAATTCCACGCGTTCCCATATTTATTTTTTCTCTCTGAAACCTTACATGACTTCTTTTTTCAAGTTCATGTAATCTGGGATATTTTGTTTTCATGTTCACACCACCATCAACCAAGAAGTCATGACAAAACTGAGTGTTATCCCCAGATTTGAAAACTTGCAAGAAGATATCATTAAAACTAAGTCTCATTGCATCAATATCCTTTTTTAACTCCAACAATATTGTTCCAAACTCCAGTTATTG